CCCCAAGCTGTTGTTTAAGCCAACTAGTTCAGTCTCTGCCTGATTAGATGCTTCAGGCTGCTGGATTTTCTCTGGGAGTCCTTTTAATAGAACAGGGGTGGGGGGTGGGCGGAGGATATTATTTATGATTTTTTTGAGGTTTGACTCAAGTCAGGAAGCTAAAACTTGGAAAAGCACCAATGTAGCTTTTCTTTTTGAGCTATGCTAAATGCCTTGCATAACAGACAGGGAATATACTGAGGAACAGTACTAGTTTTAAAAAAAATCGGGCTGGGTGTGGTGGCTCATACCTATAATCCCAGCACTTTGGGAGGCCCAGGCAGGTGGATCATGGGGTCAGGAGTTCGAGACCAGCCTGTCCAATATGGTGAAACCCCATCTCTACTAAAAAATACAAAAATTAGCTGGGCGTGGTAACACACGCCTGTAGTCCCAGCTACTCAGGAAGCTGAGGCAGGAGAATTGCTTGAACCCGGAGGTGGATATTGCAGTGAGCTGAGATCGCACCACTGTACTCCAGCCTGGGTGACAGAGTGAGACTCTGTCTCAAAAAAACAAAAAACCAATAGTCTTTTTAATGCAGTTTTTACGATCAACTGACCTAAATTGAGCCCTGGCTTCCTACCAATATTCCAGATACATGGCACCAAGCCAGGTATCCATCTGCTACAGAACTTGATTTTCTTTCTGCTTAACCTTTATCTTAAAGCTTAAGGAAGATTATGAATGTTCCATCAGAATCTTAATTTCTTTTTAAAAAGAGAAACACAATTCGTCTATGACTTTTTTCTATATCCTATTAATAAGAATGCTATTTTAAAGTATTTTTCTTAAAAGCTATGGCTTTAACAGATTGACAACCTTCCATACAGAGGTCCTCAAATTCATATTCTAGACTGAAGTAAACAGAAAAATAACAGATTTTTTGTTTCAAAGTTTTCACCCTGAAGAAATATAAGCCAACCTAGCTTGTTCAACATCAACGATATTATAATAACAACATTAATAAATAACACTGATTGAGAGCATGCTTTACAGTTCAGATACTGTCCTAAGCACTTTGAATATATTATCTAAATTAACAGTTATAACATCCCTATATGGTATTATTGTTATCCCTATTTACAGAAGACAACACTCAGGCACAAAGAGGTCAAACAGTGTATATACAAGGTCACATGGCTAAAGTCTAGAGTCAGGATCAAAACCCAGGCAGTGTAATTCCAATAGCTTTTAACTCCGACGTTATACTGCCTCAGTTTGCTATGCCTATGCTTACTGAAAAGATACAGGATCCCACACCTATCAACTTCTATTTCTAAGGAAGGTCTGTTTTGGCTGGGCATGGTGGCTCACACCTATAATCCTAGCACTTTGGGAGGCTGAGGTAGGAGAATCACTTGGGTCCAGGAGTTCAAGACCAGCCTGGGGAATATAGTGAGACTTTGTCGCCACAAAAAAATAAAATTAGCCAGGCATGGTGGCACATGCCTGTAGTCTCAGCTACTCAGGAGGCTGAGGTAGCGGGGACTGCTTGAGCCTGGGAGGTCGAGGCTGCAGTGAGTTGAGATGGTACCACTGTACTCCAGCCTGGGTAAAGAAGATCGTCTCAAAAAAAAAGGTAAAAAAAGTACTTTTCTAAAAAGGAAAAGTTCCATTAAAATAAGTGCCTCCAATATACATACATATTATCAACCAATCGAAAACACCCCCAATATCCTACATATCTTCCTTCCCACAGAGTAGTTCAATATTCTGTACTATAACTGTTAGGTAAACACATACACAGATTAAACACAGGTGATAAAAATTTAGGCACTAATAAAAATCACAAACACACACAAGGCTGAAATGTACAATTTATTTCTCTAGAAAAGTTCATAATTTTGCTTTTATTGCTGAATAATCTAAGCTCAGGTTTTTTAAAAAAATTCTGGGCTCATTCCCTTTTATCCTTGGTCTCTCTCTTCTTGTATTTCTCTGCTCAAATTTGCCTCCTCAGAAAGGCCTTCCTTAACTACTCAATCTGTTTTCTCCTTGTCATCATTCTTTTACTACCTGAAATTCAATTTGTTTGCATTTGTTTCTTTATTGTTTAACTTTGCCATTAGAAAATAAACTGCATGTGGGTCAACGTGTTCACTGCTGTATCCTGGTCCCTAAGCTGTGCCTCCACATACGTGTTCAATGACTTTTACAGAACGAATGAATGAAAACATTCCCTGTGAAGCAAGCAACTTGGTGAGCACAGACAGCAAGAGCCAGGCTGTTCACTGCCCTGATCTCCTCTCCCACTCTCAATTTTCACATCTGTAGCCCTGGCTTCTTATCCTTGTAAAAGACATGAATTCTTCTGATATGAGTCTGGGAAGGAGGTAAGGGTGGTTGCACCCACTAACTCCTATTAGTAATGACAAGCTGGAAAGAAGAAATGATAAAACCAGCCTTACTGGTTTTTGGTTGTGAGGGAGTGGTAGGATAAACAAAGGGGTAGTAAGTGAACCTGGATATGGGGACTTTGGGGTCATGTGCAACTCTTTTATGACCTTCACCCCACATAGAATCTGTCTCCAAGTTACTTCTTTTAAGCATTTTTAAAATCCTTTCTTTTATCTCCTCTCTTACAACTATGCCCTCCTTACATTATACCTGGACTATTACAAATGTTCCCAACACACTGCTGTCTTCAGTTTCCTTCCACTCACCCATTCTGCACATGACATGGAACAAAAAACAAAAAAACCAAAAACTTTATGGCAGTTCTAGCTCAAGAATCTTTAACAGCTCTCTTACACTGGGAAAAAGGAAACCATTTATTCCAGTTATTAATATTTTATAAGCCACCAATTCTCTTGCGATCTTCAGTGGCCGACAGAATGGGTGCTCATGATGCTTCTGTAGCGTCTTTTACCCATCCCATTGTGCATTCATCACATAATACTCTACACTGCACATTTGGGCACTTCCTTTTTTCTTTTTCATGTGTACAGCTCTTGTCTGCGTTTTCCAAAACCACATAAGGCTTTTCAGGACAGACTCATACTCTCTTATTTCCATCATTTCTCAGCTCTGTGCTCCTATTAGGTACATACTTACTGTATAGTTAAATAATTAGAGATTTAGTAATACACGTTTGAGAAGAATTCATCATGAAAAAAAAAACCCAGATCCACACAGTAACTGTACCAGGATAGTTTATAAGACAGCAGAAGAAAAAGTAACATTAAGAATTTGAGCAGAAAAAGGCTGGGTTTGGGGTCTTAATAGGTACTTGAAAGCAGATGGGTAGATTTGGGTAAACTTCCTAAGAGTCCAGTTTAAGGGTTGTTACAAAGAATGACTTTAAATCATGCTAACCAAAAAGATGACTTTTGTCTAGTGATCTGGAGACCATCTAAAATCTGAGTAACACGTTTAAGGGAAACTAACAGAAGGATGGGAAGTGGAAGGCCATGGAACTTGATATGCTTTCATATATCTTGAGATGCAAGACACTCTGGGTCAGTGCTGAAGAGACCACTTTGTATGTAGACACCTTTCCATCTCTAGAGATTCTGTGTGAACGTGTGCATTATGTCAACTGAGTACTTAGATGTTACAGCTATATGCAATTTATAAATAATTAGCTTGTAAATTACTTTGAAAATAAAAAGGACCAGCTAGCATTCAGAATTACAATATATTAAAAGCCTTTGGTATATATTATTATTTAATAATTGGCTTTTTAAGTCATAGTACTTTACAGCTGAAGAACTTCTGATCTTGAATCACTGGCATGAGTTTATTTAGAATGAAATGTTATTGGAGTGAAAATCAGATGCACATTACCTTTTCACAGTTATGTATGATTCATATTCATCTCCCTGGCCCTTTTTGGACCAACTCAGCTTTCCCTCAGGTCCCTACAGACTATGCAGATTCCTTTCACATATACAAGACTCTTGGTTAACCTGCCTGCCCAGTTTTCAGTTCCTTCCCTTCACCTAACTGCCTTCTGCAGGTGTTTCATATGAACCTGTGAGTTTATGGCCACCCTGAAGAGATTCAAGACTGCACGCTGGGTGATCAGTCTAAATCCTTTTAGGTGCAATGAAGTCATGTGATGCAGTGAGTGGTAGCCTTTGGATGTGTTTCTCACTGTACTTTTATCTACTATCATCAGTCTGTATACCTTGATGTCCACTAATTAAACTGTTTTCATCTCCTGACAGGCCTTGGTTCAGAGGAATTAAACTCCATGTAAGTAAATCCATTTACTATCACCAAAAGGCAAAGTTTTGGGAGAGGCAAAGAAGTTTTTAAACCTTTTCCACATCCTTTTTGAGCTTCGTGTATCTTCAAAGTCTAATGCCCTTAAACAAGCATTGACTTTCCAGAATTTCCATCACCATACGAGAATATTCTCCATCCTTCTCCTATGACATCCCTGCTCCCACCTAAACTCACCTCTTGCAGTGTCTTTGTGATTCTTTTATTGGAAAACCAAACTAAGCCATTCCTCTGTATGAGTGTTAATGTTTACTCTTCTTAGGCAGTAAACTAATGCTGCTATGGTCCAGTGACCTCCATGTTAACTCTAGGTGACATTTTTCTATTCCCTATTTGAAAGTCTTGGCTTCTATACTCTACTTTTGCATTTTTCTACCATTACATTGACCCAAACTTTAAATACTGAAGTTGCCTAGGGCTTGGTTCTGGGGCCACTTCTTTGTCACCCTCTATTTTTCAATTTGTCATCTTTATGGCAAGGACTCACAAAAGTTGTCTCCAGCTTAGATCTATTCCGCGATCTCCAACTCACATAGCCACTGCTTACAACGTTCAAAATTAAACTTTTGACTCCTATCTTTTCCACCTCCCAATCTATTTTCCATTTTAAGCTTTCCAATTTCAGTAATTGGCCCTAAAGCTAGGGAGTAGCCATCTTTCTGATTCATCTTCCATTCAATTCCTGAGGTGTACCAATTCTTTGACAATTCTAAAATATACCTCACACCTACCTTCTCTTCTCCATCATTAGCTTCCATCCTTCCAGGTAGGTCACTTCAACTCTTTACAGTGTCTCTCTCTGCCTCTACTCCAGCCTCCCTAGAATTCATCTCCTCCCTACACTGTAATCAAAGTAACGAAGATGTCATTCCCACTGCACTTAAAATCCAAAATCCCTACTACCATACCTCTTCCTCCCATGGACTCGAGGACAGACCCCTCTCCTTGTCTACCGTGCTACAAACATGCAAATTTTCTTCCAATATCTTTAGTTACTCACACCACAAGTTTTCTGCTTCAGCATCTTTGCACATGCTATACCCCCAGAATTCATTTTCTCGCCCCTTTGTACACCCAGCTCTCTCCCTGTAATCTCTAGAACACCTTTCCTAACTCCCATGCCTAAAGTAGATTCCTTTCTCATGTTTTCTATCTTGACCCTACATTTGTTGCTTTCACAGAATTACAAGTTTTTAGTTTTATATATTTTTTGAGACAGATTCTCGCTGTCACCCAGGCTGGAGTATAATGGTGTGATTATGGATCACTGAAGCCTCCACCTCCTGGGTTCAAGCTGTTCTCTCACCTCAGCCTCCCAAGTAGCTGGGATTACACGCATGTGCCACCACACTTGGCTAGCTTTTTTATTTTTATTTTTGTAGAGACAGATCCTGCCTATGTTGCCTAAGCTTGTCTCGAACTCCCGGGCTCAAGTGATCCACCCACCTTGGCTTCCCAGGCGTGAGCCACCATGCTGAGCTTCACAATTTTTTTTAAAAGGGGCTCTAATTATAACACACGCTTTACGAAAACAGGACTAACTCTGTCTCATCCACAATAGCTATATATCTATCCCCAAGGCCTCGTACATACTAGTGCTCAAAAATATGGAAATATCTTTAAAGAAGTTGACTGCGTGTAAGAAATGTAGGCTCTGTGGCAGGCTAGTATTAGAGGTCAGGTTTGAGTGACTGAAAAGCTGCAAGCCATAACTAATTTCATGAATTCACAGAGTATTTACTAAGTGTCCACTACCTGTCAGGTGTTCCAGGTAACAGAATCATGCTGACCTGCAAGTTGGTATACTGGGTAGACAAGCACTACCAACAGCACAGTAAATGCCAAGGCCAGGAAACACAGGGTGTAATGAAAGCACAAAGTACCCACACTAGGCTGGGGGGCCCAACACATAAGTTTTGATTTAAGAGTATGGCAGGAGTAAGATTGCCCCAGGAAGCAGGGGTAGCATAAACAAGGCCTCAAAGCACAGAGCACTGGCGGATGGTGTATGTGTTTTCTAGAACGGTCATTTCCCCCACATGGAGTTTTCCTTCTCCTTGGCTTTACCTTTTTTCAAATAGGGCTTCTATGTTACCCTAGGCTACACCTACCTAAGGACTGAAAACGTTATCTAGTCATCCCAGTTTCCTCCTGTAACATAATCAAAAGGTCTTACCTTACTAAGATCATGACTAAACATCTATATCCCGAAATTCAAGCAGTAAACTGGTATCCTTCCTGTAAATGCCTCAAAGATGGAACCTGATACCACCTAAAACTCTCATGTAAACCCAGAATTCTTACCATTCTTTCAAATTATTTCCCACCCTTGCCCAGTCTACCAGACACAGCAAATGACATAATTCTTTAAAAGCAAAAATGTTTAGCAACAAGCCAAGTCCCCACCCTATCCTCTTCTTTTCTTAAACCAACCAAAGTCTAACTGGAGTCATGCTTTTTGTCTCTGCCCTTACCCCCACCACCCCAATTACAGACATGGATATATACTCCTTTTAATTCCCATAATCACAGTTCTTGTCTAGGCGTCTAATATTTTCAGTTTCCTCATTTTCCATGCTGGCTTAATTGAAAGAAAAAAAAGGTATCCTCGAGGACCATTTGTTTGCATGGAACACAAACCAGTCAAACTAGTTTAAATAAAAGAGGGAATTTATTAGAAGAATACAGAGGTTCTTGCAGAGATTCCAACAGCTACAAGGGGTCAACAGCTAGAATCATGCCTTTCTGAAGGACAGAGTATGCTTTGATCACAAGCTTCTAATTCTGAGTTCTGCACCATCAGGAAGAGAATATCCTAGAGGACAGTTCTCCTTGTATACTGCATAAGGGACTAGAATGTGGATTCATTTCTGCTTGCTTTTTGTTCCTTATAGTTCTTTATGCTGGCCTCAAACTTGTCAAGCACATGTTGGCAGACATTCATGAGCTCATTCAGGCCTCTCTGAAATGGCTCAACAGCTGGAAGGGCACCTCGAGTCTGAATGCGTAAATTAATTTTGCTCTCTGAAGGATGGGTCGTAGTGTAACCACAAAATTCCACTTCCGGGTTCTTCATGATCATGTAACGCAGAGAATTTCCTAGGGTATGGTCCTCCTCGTGCAATACAAATGTCACACAGTGTCTATCTGTTCCAGCTGCCTGGACCATTTCCAGGGCTGTCTTCCTCTCGCCTTCAGCCATTGAGGTCTTCAATCCAGATATTTTTCTACACACATATTTTTTATAAAAATGAGATCATACTGAATATGGTTTTGTAACTAGCTTTTTTCATTTACTATATCACATTGCAACACGTTATCAATCTACTCCAGCTACACAGAACTATTTGCCTCTCATTTTCCTGCCTCCACAAACTCTATCAATAAATATTTAATTTATTGCCTCCGGTTTTTCCATGCTCCATTTGACCATCCACACTGGCCACAAGGGGAGCTTTCTTAGAAAAACACAAACTTAAGTGTTTGCAAAAATATTCTTTGGTAGAGTCACGAGCAAGGGATAAGATTGGAATAGGATGGGTCCTGCTAGAGGATGAAAATGGGGTTGAAAGGCATAGAAATCCCGATTGCTCCAGTATAAAAATAGAGGATACAGATGATCAATGTGCAGGCCCAAAATGGAATGCAGCTTCCATTTTGCAAGAGAAGGAAACTAGGAGAATGGAAGGTCCAGGAGTCAAGCAGGAGGGAGGATAAGAGCTCAGTACACAGAGGAGTGGCTTTAGGAGCAGTCTGCACAGAGAAGGAAAGTGAGCAGTAGTTACAGGGACACAGGCATCAGTACCGTCCTCAAGGAGGCAGGGGCCCGGGGCGTGATTTTACACGCTGCTGTTCTAATGGGGGTGGGCAGTTCGGGGACTTAACTCTGGTCTCCCAACTTGTCTTCCCTCCTTGATAGCTAGCGTACCTTTCAGCCTCTCATTTAAAACACATTCATGTCTCTTCCCCCTTCTCTCTCCACGCCTCTTCCCTGCGCCCGGAGTCAGGCCGGGGCTGCCAGGCCGGGCCGCGTGCCCCTCGGCCACCCGATCCCCTTGGGCGCGGCCCGCTTCGCCCGCCTACTCCTTGGCCATTACCTCTCCAGTTCCTGGTCCTCTTCCATCGTGGAGGCGGTTTCCGGGTCCTCAGGTGGTGCTAACGTATCGGGGGCTCTGCCCCATAGCTCGAGGCGTGGAGACGAAGCAGGAAGGAAGGACCGACCGACGGAAAGCGCGGAGGACGGAAGGAGAGAGGAGGAGCCGCAGCGGCGCGGCAGGGCCCAACGGCGGGGCGGGGCATGAGGCTCCGCCCCCAATCCCCGCCCCGACTCGGGGTCGGCCGTGGCTCACCGCCCCTTGGCTCACCTGGGCGCCCCAGCGAGGCCACCCGCCGCAGGAGGGGCAGAGGGTGGGGCCAGCGCCGCTTTACCCCGAGGCCCAGACCTGCCTGCGGGAGCCCCGGGTCAGCCCTGGTACCTTTCACCAGGTGATGGCGAAGTAGCGGGGCCTTACCTGACGCCCCCAAATCACTTAACTTCACAGTGGCAAGTCCGAAATAGGCCCGACTCCCCCACTGGGGCCGTGTCGACCCAGGGTGGCCCTTCCCAGGACCTCGGCCCTCCCGGGCCTTTCGTGGGACAACAGGCTTAGGCTCTAGTCGGTCAACACACCTTGGAAAGGGGGTCATGTGCGAGATGAGTCACAACAGAACACTAGGGTTGAAGGCGGTGTTTGACCCTGGAGCTTGCAGCTGCATTCTCAACTGGGTCAAAAAAGGGCAGGAAAGAAATGTCTTTCTCTTTTGAGGGAGCGAGAGTTTGGAAGAAAACTGTTTCCCACCTCATCCTTTCTTCGGTCCTAGAATTCCTTATACCCCCGGGGCGCGTCCTCTCCCGCAGTGGACGTCCTTTTCCCTTTACCCCCCGTGGCTCCTCAAACCTCCTCACCTGCGGAACCCGCCCTCACCTTTGTTCCCAGGTGCCCAGCCCCCGCCTCGGCAACCTTTCACCGCCTGGGCTCGCTCTCCGCCCTGCTCCCTGCGTCCCGGCCCTCGCCGCACTCCCTCAGGTGGGCTTACTCGCGAATCGCCCCTTCTTCTCCCCTGGCCGCCGGCCCCGACCCTGCCCTACTCCAGCTGCCCTGTGGTCTTGCGCACCTATGTTTCTGCTTCCCTGCGCCTCCTGTTCTCCTCCCCCACCCCTCCCCGCGATTCCCCTGGATGTCCACTCCCTCCCCAGCTGTGCCATTCCTGGCGGCTGCCGAGGGTGCGCGCAGGCACCTCGCCAGCGGGGCTTCCGCAGGAGAATCAGGCGGCCGGCGGGGACAGCCAGAGGCGGGTGGGGGAGGCAGGCAGCGAGGGCGGAGTGGTCTCACTCTAACCCGGGAGTGACGGTCCCTCTTCTGGCCCGCCTCCCGAGCTCTCGGATAGGCGGGGCCGCCCTCTGGCCCACCCCCTCCCGCCCTGTGCTGCTTCCGATTGGCCCGGGTGCGGGTTGGGCCGCTTGGCCTTGGCGCTGGCCCCCGGGAAGGCAGCAGGGGCGGTTGAGAAGTGAAGTCTTGGCCGGAGTTTGTTTCTTGCCAGGAAATCCGCGGCGGCTGCGGCGGCGGAGCGGAGCCGGGCTGGTTCTCCTCTGTCTCAGCGGGCTGCGGAGAGCTGGAGCTGGTGCCGGGCAGCGGCGCCGGGAGCCGGTGAGCGGCCCGGGCAGCCGCGCTTTCCCAGTGAGTAACTTTGCCCTGCCCGCCTCGCTGCGCGCCCTCTCGCCGGCTCCGGGCAGCCGCCTCAGGTGCGGGCGTCGGCGGGGTGTGGGGCAGCACCGCGCCCCGGGAGGCGGCCGGTGCGGCGCCGCAGCTCTCCCCGGAGCTCTGGTCCTCTGCGACTGTCCTCGCTTGCTCGGGCTGCAGGGCCAGCGTGGACTCGGGTGTGGGGCTGCTCCGGGAGGGAGAGTCGGAGCCCGGTGCCCACCCCCTGCAGGCGCCCAGGAGGCGGGCGGCCTCCGGCTGTTAGCATTTGCTGGTTCCGGCCACCGTGGTGCAGATCTTGGCGTCGTTTGCTTCTTAAGGGAAGGGAGAGGTGGGGTAAGTGTTTAAATTTCCTCTGTGTGTGTGTGTGTGTGTGTGTGTGTGTGTGTTGTTGGCAATGAGAGTGGCACTAGCTGCCTTTATCGGGTTTTGTTCCTCTGGAAAGGGATGGGGAGAGATCATTCCCTCCGCCCCAGCCTGTTGCCTATGAATTCTCACCCTTCTCTTTAGGCTGAAGATGGTGGGAGAGAGATTTGACATCTTCCAGGGAGTAATTTAAGAATACGGATCTTGCTTTGGAAGCAGTTGCACACAAAGCATCATTCGGGAAGTACATCACTCGCTTTTCAAAGCTTTATGCCACGTTTTAAACGAGGACTTTTGACTCATGTAGTGTTTCTTCTGGTATTTCAGTTTAAGTTATTAGATCCAGGCGTTCGTTTATGCCAGGAACTAAAGTACACTCATGCATGGGCCTTGCTGTACATATTATGCTTTTTAAAGGCACAGAAATCCGAAACAAAGTTGAGTGAAAAGCGGTGGCGGTGCAGGAAGAGAAACACTTGTGAGCTCCAGCTTATTGGAACTGCCTTTAAGAATTTCACTATTCTTATGGCAATAGTACTTACTTGTAAATTGGCCTCCTTCCCAGGACAGATTTTGATATTTCTTTTTTATGTACTTCGATGCAGCACTGGTAAAGTTGGATCCCAGTAGACCAATTTTATTTACTTTACTAGATTTTATTCCCACCCCCACACCACTTTAGAAAATTGATTTTGGCAGGTGAAGAAGGAAGAAAGAATCTGGTATCCTTTTTGGCTTGTCAAAGCTTTCTTGAGCCATGAATAACAAAGTTTTGTCTTTTTAGCTTGTCCAAGTCCCACATGTGAGTTTTCCCATGGGGTAAAAGTAGGCGAAATGAAAACCAAAGTAGAATAACATTACTTTTAATTCCTCCACTTGTGTGTTACATTCTCCGTATATCTTGTTCCTCTTGTCTTCTCATTTTCTTTGAAATTTTTTCAGTATTTATTCATTTAGCCACTGTTTAAGTGCCTACTGCATGCCAGGCATTGATGGCAGGGGCTGGTTCTTGCCCAGAAGTTTTCTTGTTTGGAAACTGATCCTTTATTCCACTAGTTACCCTGAAGTAATTTGAACTTAAAAGAGGGAGCATTTCTGCCTAGAGACCTGTAAGAATAGGTGTCTCATAAGCACTTAGTCTTCAGATTGGTTTGGGATTTTGTACATTGTAGACAGGCGGCATGCAGACCACTTAAAAATAAATGCATGTATCTTAGGCTGTTGTATTCTGAACTTTGCACATGGGCTTGTCTGGCCGAAGGACCCAGTGGCCAAGGTGGAAGTAGTAGTCAGAGACATGTATACTATTCATTTCAGATCACTTGGCACCTTTTCTTGCTTACATTGGGCACTAAAATATTTACTGAATTGACTTGAACAGAAAAATGAAGGATTTTGTATACCAGATTAAGAAATTTGGACTTTATCCAGTCAGTGATAGTGAGCTGCTAATTTTAAGCAGGAGAATGTCATGATAACATTCGCATTCCAGAAAGCTATCTGCAGCGTCTGGAGTATGGTGGGCTTCCAGATGGGCGGTAACGACTAAGTTGGAGGCTGTTATGATGCAGGGGTTGAGTGCTCAGGGATTCTCTATTCAGATTAACTGGGGTAGAATCAGGCTCTGTCATACACTAAAAGCTCTTTGTTCCTTAGTTTTTTCATCTCAGAATTTGGGGGCTAGAACTTGACAAAACATGTATATTAGAATAGTGATTGCCACATAGTAAGGACTTAGTAAATGCTAGTGCGCTGGCAGTGGAAGGAGAAACGTGGCATTTAGGAAGTATGACTAGGAGACTGGACTAGGTAAGTGACTAGATAGACTTAAGGAGGAAAGGATGAATCCTGAGTTGTTTGACTTCAGGCATTGGCATGTACTAGTTAGCTGGCTGTGGAATTAAAATGGGGGTCAAATTCTAATTCTGTTACTTACCCTTAGAATTACTATCGTGACAGAACTTTGATTTCCTAACATTTGGGAAATGATCATCGTACCTGTTTAGCTGGGTTTGAGGAAATTACGCATGTAATGCCCTTGGCAGGGTACCTAGCATATTCCAAGTGCTTAGTAAATATTAGTTGTTCCTTTAGATGATGACATTAATGAGCTAGTGGAATGTTGGAGATGAGAAGGAGCAGGTAAAAACAATTAATGGTAGAGGTGTGGAAGGGAAGATAGTTGAGTTTTGGACCAATCTAAGGAGATGCTAAATGGATGGTTGAGCGATCCATGATGCAGTTGTTGAATAGTTGTGTCTCACAGGAGCTAGGAAGAGAAAAAAAAGAGTTCACAGAAAGCCTTAACGGATATGGTAAGCTTTATGGGAGATTTAGAGGAAGCGGAGGGTGAAGGAGTTCACAGTGGAGCAATGCCAGAAGTGTTGACGTTGAATATTAGGCATTTCTATCCTTAAAACACATTTTGGCCACCATCAAAGAAAGGAGGACTCCAGGCCCTTATAATCTGGTTGGCTCCGGCCTTCTCCCCCTCTTCTTTCTCTTTTCTCTGATTGCCACCCCAAAATTCAAATATTTTTAAATTTTTTTATGAAGAACTATTTAACTTTCACCCCATTACAAAGACAGAGGCAAAGCCTCTGAATTCTTGATAAAGATAGCTGGAAAGATAGGAATAGAAGTGTTGTGGAGGATAGGATGTAAGCATAGCTTATACGTTTAATCTTTCCAGCCTGGAGATTTAGGACTGATACTTTTAACGGTCACTTTCCCTTAGTGGAGAAATTAAGCAGGGAAAAATTATTTTTTCTCAAAAAAATAGGCCGAGTAGGAGAAATGAGGAATAGATACAAATGCAGAAAATAGGCAATAGGCAAGTAACATACTATAAAACAATCATTGTGTGTCTACTTTAAAAGCATATCACCTTCATATGTAAAACAAATGAGGGTTTTATTTTTCTTGAAGGGTAATCTTAGAATTCTTTTAAATAACAAATTGCTCTAAGGTATGCAATACGGGCCAGTGTAAAAAGTATTGATAGCCAAGTTTTGATGACCTGTATGTTATATAACATAAGATGTATTTGGCTCTAGTAAAGCTTCTGTGATCCTGTGAAATATATATTTGGTCTTTATCCCTGTTTCCTGGCATACAACTCCCAAATTCCTT